TACATGCATCAAGATTTGGCCAGCTAAAAGGCAGATTACATCAATCCATCACTAAACTGCCATTCTGAACTTCAGCTTATCCTCTCGTACGATCTCATCTTTCCTGGACTCCAGCTCTGCCATGTCCCACGTTGCAGACAAGTATCTCCCACTGATCCACGGCCTCTTCTCACTAGCGATCCACACGCAGACATTGCCGCACAAACTCGGGGAATCCGTCAAGACTGGAGATGAGGTTAGCTGGATTCTTTCCAAACGGATGGGCCGCCTTACTCTCGTGCAATGATGGTGGCATGAGTTCCAATGCACCGGGGGTAGGCACAGAGCCCGGGTGCAACGTAGCCGCCACCACCCCTTGCCCGGCATGATCTGCCGCCAATATCTCCGTGAAACGAATCAAAGCCAGCTTGCTCATGGAATAACAAGCCGGCGCCACGCCGCCACCGGCGAAATGCGCTGCCGCAGAGCCGATGTTGATGATTGTCTTGCCGACGCTCTGCGGACCGAGCAGGAGGGGCATGAGGTGCTTGGCCGCGTAGTACGCCCCTGTGAAATTGATCGCAAACGACTGATCCCACTCGCTCGTATCGGTGTCCTTGATCTGCGGTGTCAAAAGCGACTTCACCGGGCCGCCTCCGGCGTTGCAGACGAGGCAGTCGAGGCGGCCGTCGAAATCCTTTTGGATCAAGTCGTGGAGGTCTGCGTAACTCTCTGCTTTTGCAGCATCCTGCGCCACGATGGCGACTTTCACGCTGCGTCCGCCATTCTGCTTTGCCAAACACTCGAGTTCTGACCGGGCTTGTTCTAGATCTCGTCTTGTCCGGGAAGTGAGGATGACGTTGCTTGCGCCGGCTTGGACGAATGATCTGGCGATTGCTTTTCCTATGCCTTTGCCGGCTCCCGTGACTACCACGGTGTACCCGGGAGGCAGGGAAACGTTTGCGGGATTGATGTGTTCGGCGGGTTGGGTATGGGTTGATTTTGTGAAATTCATGCCCCAGTGGGCCGGAGCGCTGGAGAGGTCGAGTTTCGGCTCTGTCATGATTGATAGCAGGACGATGACTGTGTTGCGCTTGTCGCTTCGCATGTCGAAGGTTGGGTTGTAGGGTTGTTCGAATTGGTCGCCTGCGGTG